TTAGAGTTCTTGGGTACTTGGATTAGCTTTCTAAGAAGACTGGGATATTTTTGTGCCAGTACTTCATTAACAAATGAAAGATTCATCTATTTGGGTATTGCTAAGACACAATTGGGTTGACTCAATAACCTTTCAAAGCTCTTTCTGAATTTATGACCATTAGATGCACACTTAGATGAGAAGTAGTACATAGTAATTTACTTTCAGACACAGAATACAAGGTTGGTTCTTTTGTTCCCAACCATGTAGGACAGCCAACCACTTTTTCTGTTGATGGGAATGCCTCACCCTAACACATCTACTAGGACAATCAAAGCCTGCACATTTCAGAACATGACCATCATCTCTGCCAAATCCATAAACCAAATTCTATTTTAATTATCTATTTTTAAAAAAATTATTGACAACCTTCCATTTTATTGCAGACAGCCATGACATTCCTAAGCTCAGAAAACCTTCAGTACCTGAAATTACTAAAACCTTCCACTCCTAGAAAACCAGTAGTAATGCCATTTCACATTTATCTCTCAGGACTAAGTTGTTCAATATGATAGTCCATAGGCTAACATAATCATATGGGAGAGGCTAGACATGTAATCAGGAAGGGAGTGGCAATCTTAATCCTTGTGGTCATACACTGGCCTCAACTCAGGTGTCATTTTCAGTGACTAAGAGGGAGTATCTGTCTTAACATCTCTTAGGATAAATTATATTTATAGTGTAGCCCATTCCAAGGTGACTAAACATCAACCTCACACAGCTACATAACCAAGTTCCAGAAAAAAAGTCTTTATTTTATTCTGCTACATTCTTAATGTAGATAGCTGAAAAGGACCAAAATTCTGATCAGCTGATGTGTTTTTAGATCCTGTTTGGAGGGTAATATTCCCATATAAGAGTAGAACAGCAGTGGTTCTTTGAATTGTAGAGAAAGGAATTAATCTATAGAAAGAGACCCTCTTGCTTATAGGAGGACTGGCCCAGACTTACTAGAAAATAATGTATTCTTTTTCCCTTTTGTCAACTGTGTTTTGGCTAGTTGTCTGATGAGAGGCAGAGAGCTAGACCAAATGACTTCTAGCAATCCTATCAACTCTAAGGCACACTAAAATTATGGTTGGTTAGCAGACCTCTTTCTCTCCCCTTTTCAGGGTTTTCTGTAAGAGCAGGTGACCAACAACAACTGTCTTACTATTCTCTGGAACAACTCACTTCCCAATGCCTAGAAGACCTTTTAATTTCTCTGTGTGCTCTGAGCCTCCAGTCTGGAGCAGGGGCATAAGGGACCAAAAATAGTTTGAAATTCCCTGGCCTACCCAGGTATCTACAGTAACACCAAACTTGATAGCACTGAGCTATGATTTAAAGACTCATAATCTCAGAAGAAATTTCCTGTGTGATTGGGTGGGAGCCACAAAAGGCAACATTAACAGTTTCTACTTCCTTTGTTAGCATGACTTATTGGTCTTTTAATTTCATCCAAATCTGCATATTCCTTTCACCCTCCTGTTTGATGAAGCCCTTCTTCATCTAAATTGATGTCTTGCTTCATTTGGGCTGCTATAGCAAAATGTCATAGATTGGGTGGCTTATAAACAATAGACATTTACTTCTCACAGTTCTGGAAGCTGGAAAGTCCAAGATGAAGAAACCAGTAGATTTAGTGTCTAGTGAGAGTCCTCTTCTTGGGTCATAGACTGTTGTCTTCTCATTATGTCCTCACATAGTAGAAGGATTGAGAGAGCTATTTGGGTTGTCTTTTATAGGAGTACAAATCCCATTCCATTCATGATAACTCTGTCTTCATGACACAGTCACCTCCCAAGGCCTCACCTTCAAATACCATCACATTGGGGATTAGGTTTCAACTTACAAATTTTATGAGGATACAGACATTTCATTTATAGCAATTGGTAAGAAGAAAAATTCTTCATGGTCCTCTTCTCAGACTCTTGGGTCACTGTGGAACTTGTCAGTTCAAGGGAGGTTTCCCTCTAGGAAGTCTTTTCCCTAGTAAAGCCTAATGAGTACACTTCAAAAGCCAGACCTAAAGTGTCTGTTATGTTTGTTATACCTGGTCTTAAAGACTTCTAGAATGTCAGAGTCACTAGGGCTTTTAGATGACTTCTCCTGACCATTCTTGTGTATGTACACATACACATACTCTCCTACACTCACTCATACTTACACACCTTGTAATAATGGTGGAAGACTGAGAAGCAGAGAAAGGCATGCTCCTGACTGAGACCACATAGCAAATCAATGATAAAGCTAGAACTTGAATCTAGTCTCCTGATTTCTTGTGTGGTATTCTTTTCACTACTGTACCACATATTCCTTCAACCTTCTGCCTCTCACAGCTTAATTGTTATTTTTTGTGATACTGAAGTGACTTGTTTTTATAGTAGGATCTATATCTAAATAAGGCAGTAAGACTACCCTGATTGGTGATGGTGGTGGTGGGGATCGAAATCCCAGTCAGGTGGTAGAGAGTGCTGGGAAATCTCTCCCAGAAAGCAATAAGACATGGATACTCCATGGCTACATGACTCTTGGTATAGATTACCCAACTTCACTGGTTCTCTGGTGTAGGTTCTTTGTCTGTTTCCACCCTCCCAAGAAATTGAACAGACAGAGAGAAAGGTTATGCCAGATTGCTGAGGGCTGCAGTTAAACAAGCCTTGCAAATCAAGAAAAAGAAGCAATGTTTTACTGTCTCTGCTACCCCCTTTCTCCCAGATGTCTGAACAAACAGAGCGACTGTCAAAAGTGTCCACATGATAATTTCAGCTTAATTTGTCAGATGAAAAAGGAGAGTAATAGGAGAAATCTTCAAACTTAATTTCCCTTGAAGAGGAATTTGGAGAGTTGTTAGCATATAGGCAACTAGTGCTTGCTCAGTAAATCAGAGCATCCGGCTAGAGAGCAGAAAGCTTTGCATTATATTCTCTCAGCTTACTCCATGAACATTCTGTGTCTCTTTGCCTAACTCCAGCTATCATTCCTGCCCCCTGCCATTGTATGAGGACTAGAATTCCAGAAGCACCCCTCCTTTTACCCCTCCCCAGGACTTCTGAAAAATAAATGGGTGAGTGAAAGTATCAGCCATCCCTCCAAGTAGTTTATAAATACATTAGAACAGTTTGGGGGAACAACAGGGAAAAGAACCTGTTCCCAGGGATGGTAGTTTTTGGGAAATGTTCATTTCTAATTTCTCTGATGCTGGGATTTGGTTGAGCTGTCACTTTACCACCTTTAATTCTCATTAAATCCACTTGAAAGAAAGGAAAAGGGTGCATATATGTATATGGATACATATATATGTGTATATATAAACAGCCAGGGATAGATAGATAGATCCCTGACTGCTTATTTTTAATTTGTTTCTTTTTTTCCTGGAGGTTTTTTAGCAGGAGCCCAATTTGTAGCTCATATTTGGGAGCTTGGTTGTGTGTGGTTGTGATTTCCTCTTTGTGGCACCCCTCTCTCAGCCTAGTTCTGCAATACCCAAGGACCTGTTTTACCATTGGATGATTGAATCCAAAGAAGTTGGGAGAAACAAAACAAAAAAAACAACATAATGGAGGCAGCAAAAGCATCTATAAAGGCTAAGGTGGCTTTATAAGGCATATTCCTGGTACTAGAAGATCAAATGTGGGGCTAGATGGATTTGATATTTCCCTGCCTTCTTGTCAGTAGACAGCATTGAAAATAAACTGAATGAAAAGAATGGCATCTCACTTGCCCTTCTTTCCTTGGATCTACTCAGGTCACAGTTCCATATCATCTGGCCTATAATTAGAATGGAGATGAAGTCAGGCAGAATGGGGTGAATCTGAATTAGAATGGAATGAAGCCTCTTCTCTGAAGCTCTGGTCCCAGGAAAATGAGGTGGATAAGCTGCCAAGACAGCTCTGGGTACTTTTTGGTAGCCACTATTCATTCAACACTCAATGATACATTTATTAAACAGATATTTATTGAGCACTTACTCTGTGTCAGGCCTCATTCTAGGTTCTGCAAATACATTAGTGAATAGGACAAAGTTCCTATGAGTAGAATCCTGGAGGAATGGAACAGAACAGAAGGCCGGTGGCAGCAGCAGTGGAAAGAATTACACTTTTGGGGGCAAGACAGAAATATGTGGTACACGTGGGGCAGAGGAAGCAAGAGTAAGATCTCTGAATAAAGAGAGGGCCCGCCCCCTTGCATGCATGAATTTGATGGTTTCAAGCAGCCATATTTAGTGGGTCAAACAGAAACTGTTGTATTATCCCCACTCTACAAATGAGGAAACAAATACGGGAGAGTTTAAGCTAGTTTCCAAGAGCACAGAGTGAGTTGATAGCAGCATTGGGCGCAGAACCCAGGTCTTTTGAGATTCTCACCTTAGAAATCTTCCAGGACAGCTGGTTGTTGCACTGGGTTGGTAGGGGAAGGGCGTCATCATTCTAATGTGGTTTGGTAGGTAAGAGCATGGGTTTAGAAGGATGTCTGATCTAGGTTCTTCCCCTTTGCACAAATTATTTCAAATTTTGCTGACCTGGTTTTGTGGGTAGTAACTGTATATCCCTTATTGAAGATAATGATACATAGGAGAATGCTAAGAGACAGGATATTTATAGTACCTGGGGCACACAGTAAAAGTCAGGATAATAACTATCACTTATGTAGAGCTTATAAGCACTTTCCTAAGTACTTTATATATGTTGATTTAATCCTCACAGCTCTCAAATGAAGATACTGTTATTATCCACAATTTAAAGATGAGGAAACTGAGACACAGAGAGGGTATGTGTGTTGTTCAAGGTCAATCCTTTTGGTGAGCATAGAGGTGTATGATTTTAAGATTTTGTACTTGAAGATAATGTGTCAAGTACTTAGAATTAGGGAGTCCCTGGCTGTTACATTGGATTGACCAGATAATACTGAATAACTTTCCTGGTCTGATCACCCACAGTTTATCAAATGGCACCTTTAAAAGTACTTCTGCCCATCTTTTGATGGCATTGGCCCTTTTATTATGACTTTCTTTCACTTTAGACATATTCAAAGTAGACTGTGGCACATCATCCTGGCCTGCATGAGCGTAGAATGTGGTAGATACACACCACTCTCAACTTACCATCCCTTCAACAGGAAAGTCATATAGTGCTCCCTAATCCTGAGGGCTTCCTCTCCTGGTGCCAGACATCCAGTGGTTCTGTGCTATGTCAGCCCCTCTAGAAGTGTTCACCTAGTTCCTGAGTAATCCTGAGGCTAAACTTGGAGCCTGGAGTCAAAGCAGTATTTCTGAGTTTCTTTTGTGTTCTGTTATCAGAAAATAATTTAACTGAGTTCCCCCTTCCTTTCCCATCATTTAGACTAAATAAAAATTGTATATGCCCGAGAATACCATTTCCAGATGCCCTTCTCCCTGCCTGGGCTGTGTTTGCCTCTGATTATTTCTGGAAGGATGCCTTGATCCCATCTCTAAACATTCCTTGAAACTTTTATGTGCAAGGCTGAGATCTTAGCATCAGAGTAATAGGGCTAAGATCATAAAGACCATTCTCATGTACCTTGTTTAATGGTGGGAAAAACCAAACCTAGAGAGAGGAAGAGACTGGTCCTCCAGTGACTTTCTGACATAGACCCAGTATAATGTAGTTGGAGAAGTGAGCATCCTCTCTGAAGCCGCGGAGATTGGGGTTGGGTCATGGATCTGTAGCTAACTAGTTGGGCAACCTTGGCTTATCACTTGATCTCTCTGTACCTCAAACTAAAATGGAAGCAAGATTATCTATCTCTCAAGGCTAATGCAGGGCTCAGCTAAGATAGAATGCAAGTATCCAGCATAATATCTAACCCGTATAGGTGTTCAGGAAATAGTAATTATTCTGGGCCACTGCTCTTTGTCCCTATCTTCAAATAGGCCCTTGAATACTAACTTCTATGCCCATGGCTTTGATGTAGTTTGCTTTGTGTTCCATGAGTTCTGAGCACACCTGCATTAATCTCCTCCACTGAAATGTAAGCTTTATGAGGATAGGGACCAAGTATGGCTTGGCATCTGACATACTCCCTAGCATACTTCTGACCTATCAGGGTTGCCATAAAGGAAATGAGGGACTTGGGAACTTTGGAGGATTGAATTGACTAGGAGTCAGATGTATTGGTATTTTTTGTGTGTCTGACTCTATGTAGTAGGAAGTGGTTTCAGGCTTTCTGAAAAACAGACCAAGGAAATATGTGATTGTTACATTTCTTATTTAATCAGTAGATTTTAATACACTGAGAGGAAAAGAGAAAACAATTATAAGAGAACGAATGGCTTTTCTTTCTCTTCCCCATCATCTTTCTTCTTATCCTCCCCTGTTATCTTCTACTTATACGGGAAGCAGCAAGAAACTTACTCTTCAAGTATTAGAAAAAGACTGAGAGACCAAAGCAGAGATTGAGAGACTAGAGCAGAAAGAAAGATTTATAGAGAAGAAGAGAGAGGGGGAATGAGATAGAGTCAGAAAGACTCATGGTAGCTGGGCCAGAAAATAACTGGTATAGAGAAACTGTAGCAGTCCTGGATGGTGGGGCTCATTTGGCCTTAAGGTGAACAAGAAAATGGGTCTTACTTATGGAGTTGTTAAAGCATTTTGAAGCCTCCTTCCCTCCTTTCTCACCGGGTCCTTTGTGGCCTACTCCTGCCCCAGTCTATGCTCAGCCTTGGGTGCCTCCAGGCAGGCAATGGTATCATCTCTCCTGCCTGGCTGCTTCTCATCATCACATGTCCTTCCCAGGGTGAGGACATCCTAGACAGGAGCTCGGAGCTGATCTACACTGGGGAGATGGCCTGGATCTACCAACCCTACGGCCGCAACCAGCAGCGGGTCTTCTTCCTGTTTGACCACCAGATGGTCCTCTGCAAGAAGGTAACCCCAACCCCTTCTTTCCTGAGAGATATGGGTACCTAAGGGGACAGCAGTCTCTCTTCTTCATCATGTCTAGGCTACCAATAAAGTGGGCAAAAACTGCTAAGGGAAAAACAGACAGGAGATTGGCAGCAGTTCAATATCAGGAGCACTAGTTTGGCATGAATATCATAGGCAAGACTGGCTTGTGGGAAATGAAACTCTTAAGTTGATACATTTTGGAATTTTTTTTACCCTTTTCCCTCATGACCCTCATAGTGTTCTTTCTCACTTCTTTCAACCCAGAGCTGATAGTCAGCTGGTTTGTACCAGTTGTCAAAAACATTTAAATGTTTCTGTCTCAGTTAGCAAATAGTAGCTTCCCTGAGTACCTTCCCTCATTTCCACTCTAATGACCCCTCCTTGCCCTAGGAACCATCAAGAGGCCTCTACTTTTGCACGTACAGGTAGGTAACTTTGTGATACAGAAATTTTTCCCATGCCTGTACCCATTTTCTACATAGGGTGCCTTGGTTCCCCACGACTCCCAACCTTGCCCTCCCCCACCCTTTCTTCTTTGTAATCCATTTGAGGAGAGGTCTTACTCTTGTCACTAACTCCTGAAAAACTGTGACTGTTGGTTTCTTGGGCTCTTCTCCTTGGTGGATGTGGGGAGGGTGGCATATGTTTTCAGTGTGATCCCTATTCCTCACTTTCTCCCTCAGGGTAGTGAGTTCAGACCAGTTTGTGCTCTAGGGACTGACTTGAAAGAAGTTGGGATCAGGGAAAGTAAAAGAGGAGGAAGAAACCAAAAAGTGCTTAGAGTGCCTTTCCAAATTTACTCTCCTACCCTTGGTTCTTTTACCACCATTCAGTCCCTTTGTTCTGTCCTTTATCCAGTAGTGAATGCCTCTGAAGGGGAGTGTTAAGTTATGAAGCACCAGGGTAAATAAACATTGTTATTTTTTCCAGGCTGTTGCATGAACCACATACCTGTTTTAAGGCCCCTGTTCTCTCTATGTGTGTATGTGTATGCCTTATCTTGCATTAAATCTTTATCCATGTGCCTTTGACAGTGGATTGAGGGGGAAATTAACTTGAGATTAGAGTCAGACTGCCTCAGTGTTTGGCCATAGGCTCCAAATATCACCTCTGGAATTAATAGCTATCCAGTTAATGGGGTTAATAAATACCTCAGTCTGGAGTTGACCCTTGAAGAGAGCACTTTATGAATCCAGAACTCACCCAAAAAACCAGTGCCTCTTTTTAGCTCCCCCAGTTCTTCCCGGGACTTCTATAAAATCAGGAGGCAGGATTTTTGAGGGATAATTTAGGCAGCCAAGGAAATTCTTAGAATATCAGTCATGTCACCAACAGTCATGTGCCTATTTTTTCTACTAAAGTATGTTTGTGCTCAGACCAAGTAGTCATACAGAGAGACAGTAACCAATTAGGAACCTGGTTTATTTTAGGGTTCCCCACCACCCAGACCCTATTAATTTGAGCATTTGTCAGCCAAGGCTGGGTTTCTCTAAGTAAACTGTGAAACTGGGTTTCTCTAAGTAAACTGGGCTCTATAAAGCAGTGGCTATTGGAGATAGCACTAACAGTCAGGACACAAAATAGTGAGTCAAAAGCTAGGAATAAAGGGGAAGAAACAAGATGAACTGTGGGCTCAGATTAGGAACGCAGGAGCAGCAGAAGACTAAGATGCAGTAATGTGTCAACTCTAAGCCAGCTAGTAGGAGCCAATGATTAGGAAAAACTGTAAGGCAAGGCCAGGCTGGGATTTCAAACCAACAAAGCTGGCAAGGCATGGGAAGCAGGCAACAGGGATGACCAAAACAAGAGAAACCCTGAAGCAAGCACAGCTTCCCTCAGAAGGGAGCTTTCTTGTTATAGCAATAACTATAGGCTTTCTTCCCAAAGCAAAGCCAGCCTAGAATCTAGGATATGAAGGCTACTAATTCCACAAAGCTGGGTCTTTTGACACTGACTTCCAAGAGCATGAGCAACAACAGCCTAATTGTTCAAAGGTTGTTAAAACTATCTGATAATTGTTTTGAGGATTTCTATTTGGTATCTACAATAGGCCTTTCTATTCAGCAAAGAGTGGGTAAACATTTGAAAAATGATCATGGGGCCAAAAGTGGGTATGCAAAGAGACAAGGTATTTCGTCTGCTTGGCTGTTTAGGGACCTTTTGCCAATACTACAAAAAACTCTTTTCTTGAGATATAGCTGAGAGGAATGGACAAGTTTTCCTGGAGGTAAAGATTCCCTTGACAAAGGAAATCCACGAAGAAAAGAAAGAGGAAGGGCCTGGATTAGGAGGAGATGAGTAAGGCTCTTACCTTACTCACCTCAGGTACAAAATTTACATAAATGCCCAAAAGCTAACTAATCATTTTTAAGGAAGAAAGGGGGCAAGGAAGCTAAATAATCAAATGTGACTGCATTAAGCTTTCTGATGAGCTCATATTTAGAAAGAAGAAAACAAGGGCTCCTGGCAAAGTGACTAGATAATATATAACATTTTACATATGATACGATATTTAACAGGAATGACAAAAATAATTTTATGGATCCTTGAGTGAGTCAGAGTTTATCTTGAAAAATGCTTACGTTAATATCAATTATTTTTAAAGATTTGTTCAAATAAAGAAGAAAGAAGAAATGATAATCTGACAGCCCCCTGCTTGAGGCAGATGGTTTACTGATAACAAAATAATATAAATTATTTCACTGTCAAGGGAAAGAGAGCATAAGCTTGACTAAAAGAGAATCAAAGCCCAAAGGATTCAAGGTTGTAAGAGAGCACTTCACTGCTCTGAATTTTTCTTTCATTCTGTAAGTATTTATTGAGCCCCTGTTCTGTGCCAACCCGCTCTGCCTTCATGGGGCTTGTAGTCCAACAGAATTTAAGTGTGATGTAATTAAAATATATGTATTCCTGGGCGTTGAAATAATACTAAGATATCCCCATTGGAATTGCTATAGGTAATCTGGACAGAATTATGAGTTCTAGGAGATCTGTGAGAACACTATAAATAGGAAAATATACCAATTTTCAAAACAGAAAATAATATATTCTAGAAAATGTAGATTGACAATAAAATAATGACCTGGCATTAATTGAGTGCCTTTAGGATTTTGTTCTAAGTACTTGACATATATTAACTCAGTCCTCATAACAAATCTATGAGGTAGGCACTATTATTATTCTCATTTTTTAAATTCCCATTTTAAAGATGTATAAAGAGAGAGACAGAGAAGTTATATAGTTTTTCCAAGGTGACACATGGCTAATGAGTGATAGATCAGGAATTAAATGCAGATAAGCAAACTCTAGCTTCTACACTAGTAACCAGTATGTCATTATTGTCATTGAGCTTGTCAGAATTCTGTAATAAATTATTAAATAGCCTGTGAACATTTGAAAAGAGATGCAGTGATGACAGAGGTGCTCAGCATTGCTTTTTAAAGAGCAAATCATATATCATAAAACACAGTTTCTAGTTTGCCAGTATCTGGATTAGTTGATGAGAGTATTGCATTGGACAAAGAGTATCTGGATTTCAATCTGGCACTTCAGATTCTTCCATGGTTTGCTTGTAGACAGAAGCAATGTGAAGTAATAAAGCATAAACTTTGTGGTTTGACCTCAAATCTTAGTATCAGTACTCACTAACTATATTATTTCAAGCAAGTGTCTTTTTGCTTCCTGTACCTCCATTATATCACTTTTTAAAAGGGGATAATAACTACTCTACAGGATTGTTGTGAAGATTAAATGAAATCAATGCATATAACATGTCTTATAGAGTGCCTGGCACCTCATAGGTGCTTATTAATCTCAGTCTTCCCTCATCCCCAACAAAAAAATAGGCAGCTTTATAAGACAGTGGGATCTTCATCATTAGATGTACCAAATATGGACTGGATGATTATCTTCCAAAGGTAGTACAGGAGACATTGAAGCACTCTAGCTGATCTCTCTCCCAAATCAGGTGACCCAACTTCCCAGTCAGTTACATTGGGAGTTGGGATTGATTGAGTAACTAAGAACAATTTGAGCCACGTATTCAGCTTGTAGCTTGTTTCCGAGAGGGAGAGAGAGATATTGTGTGTGTGTGTGTGTGTGTGTGTGTGTGTGTACATGTGATGGTACTTATAAAATGACAGTTATAGTAGGTGGGAAAGACACCAGTGACTTCTAATTACGTGACCTGTTTTTTAACCTTTGCTGTCCTCACTTTTCTTGTCACTTTTCTTTTGAAAAAATCTAGATAAGACTCTTTGTTCTCTTTCTTATCCTCTCTGCTGACTGTCTCTGCTCCTTTGTGTCTCATTGCCTTATTATTTTAGGTTTGCATATGTTTTGTTATTTTCTTCCTGATATAATTATTTTGGAAATCATTTTGATGCTTTGGGGGATCTATTTTTCTCTTTCACTATTTACTATGGAAAGAAGTAGAATCCCTTTCCTCAATAATCCACTTTTCTCAATGTTCCTGCAGCCATGCAGTTGCCCCAAACAGCCTTTTCCTGCATTCTCTATCCTCAGTTGTGCCTGTCTGAACATGGTCTGTTATTTCTTGTGTTGTAAGTGCTCTATGCTTCTGTTGCTTTTACCATATCCTAAGGCATCAGAACTAAACAGCATGTAATAATACTGGGCATAGGACTTCTATTCAGAGGAGTTTCTGCATTTGGACCATTTCTTTCTGCACTGAAGGGCCAGACTTGGAGGATGAGCTCTTTAGGACAACTCACAAATACAGTAGCAACAGAGATGGGGGTAGAGCAGAAAGAAGATGGGCATTTGAAACCAGAACACCTGGTTACTAGATTCTACTCTGTCTCTTACTATCTTGTCTAACCTTGGGCCAGTTTTTTAACTTCATCCTTATTTCCTCAATGTCAAATCAGGTTTACAGTAGAACACATCTCAGGAGGCTCTAGGAGAGAACCACCTGAAGGAGTAGAGGAGAGTGAAGTATAGGATTAAGAGCACGGGTGCTAGGGCCAGTCTTCTTTCTCCCCATGAGCTGTGTGACCTTGGGCAAACCTGTGCTTTTAATTATCCCCTCACTTACAAAATGGTAATCATAATGGCATTTACAAGGAAGAGAGGTTGTAAGGATTAAATGAAGCAGTGCAGGTATAGTGCCTGAAATATATTAAGTGCTTATTAAGTGTTAGCTATTACTGTATGAGCAGTGTTATTAATCATCACTCAGTACTTTTTTTTTATTGAGAGGCAATATAGTACATTGTTTAAACAAAAGTACAGATTTTAGAGCCAGTCAGCCTGATCTCAAAGCCCAACTCTGCCAGTTTATTACTGGGCAAGTTTCTTAACTGCTGTATGCCTATAGTTCCTCATCAAATGGGGTTATAACAGTACCTACATTGGATGATTATTGTGAGGATTATTTAAGTTAATTAACGTAAAGCATGTAGGATAGTATCTGGCACATAATGTATGCTGTTGAAGTGTTCACTGTTCCTATTATTGTTGTTATTATTATTCTTTTGTGATTATTAAGCATGCACTCTAGATGCTAGAATACAGTAGGGAGCAAAAATAAATCCAGTGCCAGCCCCGCATGCCTTCCCCAGATTTGGAGGGAAAACTTGGACCTTACTGACAAACAAGTGAAGCAGGCTGCAATCATGAACAGTTGCATTCCCCAGATTGCAGCATCTGTCATTTGTACAAAATGTCCTGCAGTATCTTACTAAACCCCACGAATACCCAATGAGGACAGATGTAAATAGTGGAAAGCTATTTCAATTATGTAATATCATAGAGTGGTTAGGTTCCTCCTGGCCATAGGCCAGGTCCAGGGCCTTGGTGTCTATCTGTAAACTGTTAGGACCCTCCTAGATAAGCACTAGCTCCCTTAATATCCTTAAACTCTGATGAATGGAAAGGAAAAAGAGGAAGGCTGGCATTTTATTAGAAATAATAAACTCCACTAGGCAGGGAAGTTATGATCCAAATATCATGTTTTGAGCACCTATTCACCATGTCCCTGTGAAGAAACTCAGACCACCATTAACAAGTAGCATGTGGGCAGCCTGGTCCCAACAGGATCATACGCAATCAGGGCTCAAGAGGGCTTTGTCCCCTTGACATGTACAGAAGATGACCAGAGAAATCCCTAGGGCATTGTCAGCTGCTTTTCTCTGAGAACTGAATAAGGCAAGATTAGTAAGGCAGAGTGCTATTCACAGCCTAATTGGGAAGACAAAACTAAAAGTTGTAAGCAGCATAGTGGCTAAGTAACAAGCGTGTAATATGTAAGGGTCTTAATAGTTGGTGTTAGAATTTGGAGAAAGGGAGCCACAACATGCATTCAGGGAAAGCTTCTTTGGGGGAAGAAGAATGTGTGAATTTGAACCAGAAAGCTAGAAGAATTAGAATAGTAGGCATGGTTGACCAGGGAGGAAATATTAATATGAGTCTAAGTATAGATTTGTTATTTCAGTGAGTAGGTGGCAAATTCCATCCTACCCTGAAGGACTATATAGAATTTCCAGAGACAGTGGGTTAGCTATGTAAATTGAAAAATATTCAGTTACCCTTGTTTTGACTTATTTTTACTCATAACTGTTAACTCATTTGCAAAGTATAAATGGGCTAATTGTGACAATAAGATCTTTTTCAGGTTTGTCAAAATGTTTTCTAAAGGGTTCTTAATCACTGACCCAGGAACAAGGAAGCTCAGAGTCATATTTGGTAGGCAAAGCTGGCTTCATGTCCTAGAAACTGCATGTTTATATTAGAGCTTTAGAGCCAGTCTACAGTGTAAGGATACCTTTTCTCATTTAATGGTTAAGGAAATTGAGGCTCAGAGAGTTTGAGTGGTTTGTCCAAGACTATATAGCTAGTAGGTTAAACAGCAAGATTTTAAGCTCTACATCATATTCTTTCCTATCTTCTATGCTGGTTTGTGACCTTAGCTACTCTTTCTGATTGGACTTCCTGAACCAGTAGGTCATTCTTTTTTTAAATGCATTTTGTTTTAATTATTTTTTTAAGTAGATCATTCTTAATCATTCCTATCACATTTCTACACTTGGCCTGTGACTAACCTAATGCCTGAAAACTAATATTCAACCCTTTGGGGGCCCAGGAAGAAAGGGAGAATATGAATAATATATCTCTCTATTCCTGTACCCCTGTCACTAAAGCAGAAATTCTCTCTAGTTCTCTGTCATCTGTAAATACCTAAAGAAAAAATAGAAGATTCAACTGATGCTTTTAATGTAGCTCCAAGATCATGCCCATCCTTTCCATTTTGGGAAACTAGCAAAGGTGTTTAAGACTCACAATGATTGTGATATCAACTCAGAGGGGAAAGGAAGCTGCAGACTGAAGTCAGGAACAAGGAAGTTGAGGCTACCTGTGTTTTAGACAGTGTGGTCCATTGAGGGTGTGTGGTCCAGATCTGGCTTTCCCTGTTTGTATGTATTATATTATGTATTATAAGGCAGAATTCAAGCCTTTCTGAGATCAAGATAAATTACGTCTATCCATTCTCCTTGCTTGTCTTGCTTTTGTAGTTAGATTAGTTTGATAGGGCCCACATTTTGTGCATGTGTCACACAAAGTGATTCTAAGAATTATGGAAGTTAGAGCATGGGAGCTACTCATACTTTTGACCAGGACAGTGTTTTTACATTTTCAACATGGTAAAAGGAACCCAGGCTCTCTGTATATAGCGGACCTCTTCCTCTCTTGTGAACTTAATGCTGGGGGCACCTAACAGATCTGAATCTATCTGTACTCTTATCTTATTTGTATGCACAATCATTGTGGGAAGAAAAAGAGGAATATAATGGTTATTTTGCAAAACAATTCAACATCATCTGTACTTCCCAGTCTGCGGCTTTGAGATTGACAGAGCTGTGCTGGTAATCCTTCAAAACAGGCTTCCCCAGCCCTACTGAAAATCCCAGTGTACTGCAGAGCTGAAGAGTTAGGATTGAGAATGTGGGTGGCCAAGGAAAAATTTCTTACAGATAGCCTACAACTAAGAAGTGATGCATGCCAGGCAGTTAAGTAGAATGAGTATGTTTTAATTGAACTCTATGATGTTAATAAAAATTAATGAGCATGTCTGACTCTGACAGGTTGACTGTAAGACCATATACAAGCAGACAGGAGGGCGAATGACCAGAAAGAACCCAGGCTATTGGTAAAGGATGTCTGTCAGGACAGGGCTTACAGGGGCCTTCCTCAGCCAGACTCAGTCACACCACATGTCCCAGAAGTGAATGTGCTCTCATAGACAGCTGAGGGCAGCACTGAGAGGAAGAGGGACTGAAAGGCCACCACTTTGAGAGATTTATTAGCTCTGACATTCCATAGACCCATATGTCATTTCGTTCATCCCTCTGTTTCCTAGTTTTGACTTAATGAAATATGTGATATTCAAAAATATAAGAATATAATGAATACCCATGTACTTATGCAACTTAAGAACAGATTCATTACAGATATATTTTTCCTTCCCTCCCTCTTCTGCTTCTTTTCCTTTCCCTTTCTCTCTTACCTCTTCCCATTTTTTGCTGTGTACTCTCTTGAATCTGGCATATATCATTGTCATATATTTTTAATTTTTGTACATTTTTGTATCTCTAAATATTATATGGCAATGTTTTTAAATGGAGTGGATACAGATGAGGTAAAACTATATTGAAAGTAAACCAGGGGAATGATAAGCATGGGATTTAGGATGGAGGATGCCTTGAGTTTGGAGGATGTCTTTGGGTTTGGTGGCAAATTTACCAATACTCATTACATTATTAAATATAAGTAAGCCAGGCTTGGTGGCTCAGCCTGTAATCCCGCACCTTTGGGAGGCTGAGGTGAGTGGAT